TCTCTCTCTCTCTCTCTCTCTCTCTCTCTCTCTCTCTCTCTCTCTCTGTCCGGTACTAACCTGTGAAGGTGGTGCCTGGTTGCAGGTACATTGAAGACGAAGCTGGAGCTATGGCGCCACAGGTAAGTCTCCCTGGTCTCCGCCAACCATCTCTCTCTCTCTCCAACGCTGCTCTAGCTCCTAATGGCGCCCAGCGCTGAAGACTACTCCTAACGCTACTACTACTACTGCAGCGCTCCTCCAGAGTGCTGCGGCCGAATCCTGAAGACTACCTCCTGCCTCCTGCACGTGAAGTGCCCGTGAACTGCCTGGGAAGTCCCTATCCACTACCTGCAGCCTGCAGGGCGGGCCAGTTCTATATAGTGCTGGCCCGTCCGGGAGGCTGCTCTTGCCAATGTCGAAACGTGACAGACCCTGGTGTTGAAGTTCAAACAAAGGTTGTCTTGAAACAGGCCCAAAAATGGCCTGTGCTAAACCCTGGTCTGGTGCCTGCGTTTCAGGGCAGGTCGACTTTATGAGAGCCTGAAAATGGCCCTCGTTTTCAGGCTTTTAGGCTGAAACGACACAGGGCCTGTAGGGCCCCTATTTTCCGTCTGGTCGGGCCCTACAGGCCCGTGTGGCTGCACAGTATGCCACACCCCCCCCTCCTTGAAAGACCGAGCTTACCTGCGAGGGTGAAGCTGCCTGTCTGAGGGAGGGACCAAAGTCCGGGTGGGAGGGGCAGGTCGTGAAACTTCCTTAGCTAACCTTTGTTGTTCGTAGTGAACGTAGATCAGCGGTGCGGATGCTTTCAAATCTGCTCCTAAAATCCATCGAGTGTCGTCGGGATCGCATGCTTTGAAGGTAACTTTGTACTGTCGAGGCTTGCTGACGTACTTGCGATCCGTGATGACGTGGTCGACTTCCTGATGACCATCCATAGATGGAGGGTCTTGCGATCATCGGCCCGGGAAGTCGTCGCACTTAGCTGGTGTGTATGTCGCCATCTTTGAGGCGTGAAAGACTGGATGGACCGTCAGATGCGGGGGGATGTTGATCACAAATGAGGGGCCATCGGGCTCATCGCCCGCGACTGATGTTATGGGCCATGGTCCAAACCATTTTGGGAGTAGTTTGCACGAAACATCCTGTTCGAGTGCAAACTCTTCCACGGAGACCCAAACCAGATCACCGGCGTGGATGGGACATGGCACGCGACGCCTGTTGGCTTGCTGCTGCATGCGGACTTGAGCCTTTTGCATGTTCGCGCGGGCTTGAGCCAGCAATTCCCTGTACTTCCGGACGGAAGCGGGAGAGCAAGCGGCATCTATGTCGGCTTTTCGTGGAAGAAGAAGATCAACGAAGATACGACCTTTCCGGCCACCGTGGTGCAACTCGAATGGAGTCACGCCGATCGTCAGATGCAACTAAGTGTTGTAGGCGAACTCGATGTCGGGGAGGCGGTCAACGCAATCCTTCTGATCCGGACAGATGAGCGTATGAAACATCATTTGAGCGGTTTGATGTGCCCGCTCCGTCTGCCCGTTCGTTTGTGGATGTCGAGCCGAACTTGGTTTCATCTTGGTGTCGGATTCCTGCATGAGAGAAGTCCAGAATGCCGACATGAAACGAGTGTCGCGGTCGTTGACGATGTCTTCCAGTACGTCGTGGTTGCAAATCCAGCTGGTGTGCAAGAGGCGCACAAGTTTAGGAGTCGTGGCGTAGTTCTTGCAAGGGAGAAATTGTGCGTATTAACTCGATCGGTTAATGACCGTGAGGATGTCGTCGTGCCCGAGGCGGTCGCGGGGAAACAGACCGGTGACGTCCATAGCAATGGAGAGGCTGGGTTCCCGTGGGATGGGCAACGGGCGCAACTCACCGTGGGGATTGCGGTTGTGGGGCTTGCTTCGACGACAAACTTTGCAAGAGTCGCAATACCGAGTGACATCGGTAACGAGGTCGGGCCATTGGAATCGTTGCCAAAGTCGTGCGATAGTCCGATTGACTCCGAAATGGCCGGTGAGTCACGGTTCGTGGTGCTCGCTGAGAAGGCGAGTCCAAAGACGACGGTCTCGTGGGACACACAATAAGTCCTTGCCTCCCGAGTGGAGAATCAAGTACCCGTCGGCGATGTGATAATGGCTGGCCAGCGGGTGATCCGAAGATAGCTGCACATATAGCATGGCGAAATCTGGATCGGACTGGTAGCCCCGAATGAAATGCCGCTGAAGTTCCTCGTCGAACGCAAAGGCATGATGTGTCATAGCGCAAAGATTGGGTCTTCGTGAGAGTGCATCTGCGGCGCGATTGGAGAGGCTGGCGAGATGTTTCGGTGTGAAGTCAAATTGGTCGATGAAGTACATCCATCGTCCTATCGTGTTGCTCACTGTATCCTGCGTCTTGTAGTAGGTCAACGGGTTGTTGTCAGTGACCCATGTGAACCTACGATGCCCAAGGAGGAAGTGTCACCATCGCTTGAGAGCCATCACGAATGTGAGCAGCTCCTTCTTCCTTGCACCATCAAGTAAGTTGATGGGAGGCACATTGTGGCTGAAATACTCCACAGGGTGTTAGTCGTCGCCGTCGTGTTGTTCCAAGACTGCCCCAATGCCATAGCTGGAAGCGTTAGTTGTCACTCTCGTTGGCAAGGTGGGGTTGTAGATGCTAAGGACGGGTGCAATGAGCATGGTCGTCTTGAGTGCTTGGAATGACCCGTGCACATCGTCATCGAATACGAATGGCACCTTTGGCGATTGTAATCTCGTCAATGGTGCGACAATCCTTGAGTACCCGGTGATGAAGCGTTGACAGTAGCCCGCCAACGCCATGAATGAGCGAACATCTGTGGTGTTGGTGGGCTCGGGCCATACACGGATGGCCTCGATCTTGTCCGCAAGCGGACGGATGCCTTGCAGCGTCACATAATGGCCCAAGTACTCGAGCTCTTGCTGCGCGAATTCGCATTTGTCGCGGTTGGCTTTGTACTTGGCTTGTCGTAGCCATTCCAAAACGGTGCGCAGGTGCTCCACATGCTCGTCCAAACTCCAGCTGTACACCAAGATATCGTCGGGGTAGATGAGTACAAACCTATCCAACATGTGTCGGAACTCCGTTGTCATAGCCGCTTGGAACGTGGCCGGGGCATTCGTAAGGCCAAAAGGCATAACCAGGCATTCGAAATGCCCATATCGCGTCTTAAACGCAGTCTTGTAGTGATCCTCCTGCCGGATCTCGAGTTGGTGATATCCCGATTTGAAGTCCAGCTTGGAGAAGAACTTAGCGCCGCCCAGCCGTTCGAGGAGGTCGTCGATGCGCGGAAGAGGGCTGGGGTTCTTGACGGTTTGCACGTTGAGCTTGTGATAACCAATGCACAACCACAAGTCCTTGTTCCTCTTCCAGACGAAGAGAACGGGAGCGCCGTATGGCGAAGAGCTAGGTCGAATCCAGCCTTTCTCAAGAAGGTCGTCGAGTTGTGCCCGTAGCACACTTAACTCTTTCTCGGTCATGCGGTAAATGCAACCACACGGAGGTACGGCCCCGGCCTCGAGGATGATCTCGTGGCGGATTGGCCGATCCGGTACTACTCTGTGCGGGGCTTCGAACACGTGGTTGTAGGCGTCGAGAAGCTCGGTGATGCGTGGGTCCGTTGATGCGTCCCTTGATGGGATGTCATGGGGAGGGAGGGCGTGGAGAAAACACACCCCCATCTCCTCGATGTCGTCCCTAGTGATGGAAGCTCAAATGCTTGCGGCGGACACCACGTGGCAACTGATCGAAGGGTGAGGTGGAGGCATCAAGCATGGGACTAGTACTCCATTCCGATCACGAATGTGAACGGTGCAGCAGTAGAAGTTCACCGGATGATCCTTGCTTCGCAGTCATGACATGCCCAAAATCATGTCAAACTGGGTGTCCAAAATGTCGAAGGACACGGCCTCGCTTGCATGTGGGGCAAAGTGCACAGGGACGGAATCAATGCACCGATCAATTGACTTGTGCGTTTGACCGTCGGCCAACGTGACTTGCGTGGGCTTTGACTTCCTCCGAACGCGTGGCCCGAGGTCAGCGCACACCATAAAGTCTTGGTTGATATAGTTGCGAGTAGCTCCGCAATCGATCAAAGCACTACAAGTCGCCTATCTGATCTGAATGCGTATGTACAACAATGGCGCGTCGATGTCGTCGTACCGTTGTGTCTTGAACTCGCGGTCGGTTTTCACAATGTAGTCGTGAAGGTCAACAACCTCTACTCCGGTGTCCATCAACGGAGCTGGTACAGCAGTGTGCAAGTAATCCCGCAACTGTGCCTTGAGCACGTTGCAATGTGGTTTCGGCAATCGACCGGTCAGGGGAAGGGGCATCCATTGGAAGTCCGCGAATGTCAACGGGTCGAGTTCTTCAAGTCTAGACCATGACGTCGAATCCCCGACGATAGTTGGCGGTGAAGCTGCCGAATCGGTTGCCGATGGTGGTCGCAGCAACAACGCCGACCAATTCCAACGAGGCTGCTTCATCCGATGAGGGCGATATGTCAACAGCTGCTTGGGATGGTGGTTGCCCGACCAAGGGTCGAGGACGCGGCAAATCAAAGACAAACACCTCTTCATCCCCCAAGACCGAAACAACAGCCAAATCGGTTGCCGACGGTGGTCGCAGCAACAACGCCGACCACTTCCAACGAGGCTGCTTCATCCGATGAGGGAGATATGTCAGCAGCTGCTCGGGATGGTGGCCGCCTGACCAAGGGTCGAGGACACGGCAAATCGAAGACAAACACCTCTTCATCCCCCGAGACCGAAACAGCAGCTCCATTATGGCATATCGGAGGGCGTCTACAAGATCTGGACCAAGTACCGATATTGTTTGTGGTGCAACAGTGACGCACACGACACTGTGAACTGTCCCACAAAAGCCAAGGGAAAGACCCATTCAGGAAAGTGAGCACCGTCAAGAGTGGTACGTCTGCACTCTCGACGCCTTCCGAACCGGTTGCTTTGCGAGCAACCTCCCTTACTTTCGAGCCACATGCGAAGGTCGTAAGTCCTCTTCTTCATTCTTTCGAGGACTTTGCTGCTCATCTCGTTCCACCACTAAATTCTCTAGCTCAAGGACAAGGTGTGTGCGCGTTTTCCTCTTTGTCCGGTAGTGGTGCCATTTCATCTTCTTCAAGTGGTTTTTCATGGAATTAGGCATGCGAGTTCAACGAGAGGTCTTGGACCCGTTGTCGCCCGAGGACTTTGCATGGCTTCCTCTCCCTTCCACGGGCTGCTTATCAGGACCACAATGCGCAACATTATGCGGCCAATTGTACACGTATTTGTCCTTCTATGCACCACCAACTTCGCCAACGGATGACGAAGTCGTGGTGGGGAACCTCCTTGCGTATATCACCAAGGAGGCCCACCAGTTTCGCACGCAGCGGTACGACGACAACAACGCACCGCTCCTTTATGTCTGTATCCAAGTTGGGCAAGTGTCCTGCAGCGCTTTGCTGGATAGCGACGTGACTCGCAATTTCATGGACCAGTCCTCTATAGAAAGGGTCGGCCTTGGCGCACAAGTTCGAAGGAAGCCACACCCTACGACGGTCAAGATGGCAGACGGTCAGACGCAACAACTTCTTGATCGCTATATCAAAGCTGTGCGGGTTTATTTCACACCCCATGCATGTGAGCCGATCACGTTTGATGTGTTGGACACGGACTTCGGCATCATTTTGGGGATGCCTTCGCTCGCGAGTGTGGACCACACGGTCAACTTCCATTGGCGGTCAATTACCGTTCGCGACGCTTTCAGCGCCGAAGTCCCGTGCACCATTCCTCTTCCGCACCCTTCGATCCGATACAAAGTTGTGACGCCCAAGTCTTTTCGGGCCACTTGTTCTTATGAGCGGACCGACGAGATCGACCTTTGTTTTGTTCGGACCGTCGCAGCGACCGAATCTTCACCTACGGACTTGGCTTCGGACCCCCTGTGTGGTGCAGTTGCTTGACGAGTTCGCCGACGTCTTTGAGTCTCCTACCATCGTGGTGCTGGATCGGCTGATCTCCCATGAGATCATCCTTGACGCTGGTGCTGTACAGCCGAAAGGTTGCATCTATCACATGAGCAAGGAAGAGCTCGTGGTCCTCCGTGCGCAACTTCATGACTTGTTGGACAAGGGTTGGATCCGCCCTAGTAGCTCACCATATAGTGCGCTAGTTCTCTTCGTACGGAAGAAGAACAAGGACCTTCGCTTATGCATTGACTATCGCAAGCTCAACGAGCAAACCATCAAGAATGCAGGGCCTCTTCCTCCTATCGACGATCTTCTTGAGCGTTTGGGCGGCGCAAGGTACTTTGCAGTTGGACTTGAAGTCGACTATCATCAAATCTCGATACGCCCGCAAGATCCCTACAAATCCACGTTTAAAACGCAGCACGGGCTTTTGAGTGGGTGGTCATGCCTTTTGGCCTCAGCAACGCCCCTGACAACTTTTCAAGCGGCGATGACCAACAAGTTTCGCGTACTGTTGGACCGGTTTGTGCTGGTCTACATGGATGACATTCTCGTCTATAGTCTAACCTTGGAGGATCACCTTGAGCATCTTTGACGTGTGTTGGAGACGCGCCAAGTACAAAGCCAACCGCTACAAGTGCGAGTTCGTACGTCAAGAGCTGAAGTATTTGGGCCATTTCGGCACACCTGAGGGCATTAGTCTGTTATCGGACAAGATTCAAGTTGTCCAAGAGTGCCCAAAACAGAGGAATGCCACGGATGTCCGCTCATTTCTCGGTCTAGCTGGCAACCACCAATGCTTTATCAAAGGTTATTGGAAGATCGCGACTAACTTGACCAAGCTTCAATGTGAGGACCGACCGTTCGACTTCGATGACGATGTGAGGAACTCCTTTTTGGCCCTCAAAGCCGTTGTGCTATCAGCGGAGGTTTTACGCATCTATGACCTGCTTTTGCCAACGCGCATCACTACCAATGCGTCCAGCTATGGCATTGGTGTCGTCCTCGAGCAACATGATGGAGTACGGGCAAGCGCCAAGGCCAAGGCCGCCGCACACGCACACGCATGCGCCACGTGCCCACGCTGCGCCGCCCCGCCCCGCTCCCGGATTAGTTATATTAAGATCCGGGATGCATGCTGCTGCCAGAGTTTGAACCTGGGCAGCTGCTGGCCATGCACGTGCGTAGCTGCTGTCATAACACACTTGCCATAGTGTGCATATGGCTCTATAGTGTGGCACGCTCGTGTTAAAGAAGTGTTNTGTGGCACGCTCGTGTTAAAGAAGTGTTAACAGGGCAGCAACGGTCAGGCCGCACATGCACACGCACGCGCCATGTGCCCCGCCCCGCCCCGCCCCGCTCCCGGATTAGTCTATCAAGATCCGGGATGCATGCTGCTGCCAG